GTGTGTGTGTGTGTGTGTGTGTGTGTGTGTGTGTGTGTGTGTTTTGCCTGTACCTGTAGATCTGTCTTTTCAGGCTCTTGATGGGTTGAGACCTTTCTTTGCGCTTAGGTCTCATAAGGTCCTAAGTGAACCATGTGTGACCTCTCTTTCATTTCCTGTGATGTTACCGCTCATCATAATGAAGGAAAATCTAACTAAGTAGAAAAAAAAGCACATCCTCTGTGAAACCGGACTTTCCAGTCTAATACCGCTTTTAAGGGCACATTATTTTTGTGAGCTGGAAAACTGAGTCCCTGCCAGGCAGAGTTAATTACTAAGGCACACTGGATGGTAGTTTTCACAGGTGGTTTTGATCATCATCCCTCTCCACTCCGGCACATGCTGTAGCTCCTTCACTTACTGTGGAAATAGGTTGTCATGAATGTACATTAGTACACGCAAAAATGTACGCACAGTACAATGAAAATAACTCATCGCAGTGTTATTCCCTTGGAAAGATAGCTTTGGAATGGGGAAATTAAAGAGGCAACATGACCACATTTTAGGCTACATTCAGCTAGTACAATGGGTGCATCTCCCACACACAGCATTCCACACACCAAAATTGGAACACAGATATTTTGAACCAGCTATTAGTGCAATTAATTGAACACTAAAGCATATTATTTGTCAACATTCTAGAAAAGCACCACCAGAGGTCCAGTTCAGGTACATGAATTTGCTGAGTTGAAGCCTAGCTAACAGTCACTGCCTAGAGTCACCTGTGCCCACTGACCATGTGTCAAAACCTCTTTTATGGTTATGGTTAATAAACTTTATATTCATGCTTTATAGCTCATATTTCGCTAATTCTGGTTTCACAGGTGCCCTCTTAGTTTCTTCTGAAGATGAGGAGTCATCATTTGCTACCGCTACGTGCTCTTCTGGTCGTCCTGCTTGCAGGACTTCTTCCTAAACTCGATGCCCAGGAAGATGAAGGTAAGTTTAACTAATTTAATCTCATTGCAGTCAGCAGCAGCACTCATTTTACAGATGATAGAACCGGGTCTCAATAAGCAAGTGTTTAAATATCAAATGCAAGCAAAGGGATTATAAAACTGTATTTGCATTTCTTACTTTTACATGTATTATGCTTTCAAGACTGAATGCAAACAGTTAACCTCAAAATGGGACATAAAACTTAGAATATAAAACCTCAAGAGATACTATAGTAGAGTAAGTCTGATACATTTGACGCATTAAACATACATAAACAGACTGATGCTATCAAACTGAAGTACATTTATATTGTGCACTTTGTTAGTATCTTTTCACTGGTCTTTACTTTTGTCCTCCCAACACTCCCTTTGGAAGATTGTGCACAAGGTTTGGCAGCTGATATGTACTTTCTAGTGGATTCATCATGGAGTATGGGTCAAGAGAACTTTGAGCATGTCAGACACTTTCTGTACACCTTGATACAATCTCTGCACCAGGTCGGAGGAGAAAGGTTTAAATTTGCCCTTGTACAGTACAATAGCAAGCCTCACACTGAGTTCCAGCTCAACAGCTACAAAACTGCACAGGGAGTCCTGGCACACATCAAGGCTATGTCTTACCGTGGTGGGGGCACGCGGACTGGCTTGGGTTTGGATTTTCTGATACATACACATTTGACTGCTGCTTCGGGCAGCCGTGCTGCTGACGGAGTCGCCCAGGTGGTGGTGGTGCTAACAGACGGCCGCTCGCAGGATGATGTTGCCGAGCCAGCTCAAGTGCTGCGGATGGCAGGCGTGGAGATGTTTGCAGTTGGAGTTCAGGATGCAGTGGACTGGGAGCTCAGGGAGATGGCTAGCCAACCTCAAAGCACTCACGTTTTCAGTGTAGACACTTTCCCAGCCTTACAGAGTATAATTCAAGATTTAGTTGTGGGACTTTGTGATGCAGTGACCCAGTCAGGGGGGTTTCCTGTGGCAAATGAGGCCCCTGTGGCTGGAGGAGGGACAGGTAATGAAATGGGACCAGCGTCACTACCATACTAATGTCTACATGTGCAGAAAGAAGCTGCTGCACATGCGGCTGTGACTGGACCTTTTTATAATTAACATAACGATTTTTTTAACCACAGTAACCTTCCACTGTTCACCTGCAACATTAACACCACTTTATTGATTTGTCTTTCAACATGTAATATACCTCTAATGCTTCAAAGATCACAGTACGATTTGCATGTGTTCACTTTACTGCATTAGGTGTTGTACCTGGTACTTTTGCAAAAGGTAGGTCTCTGATGGAGGCTGAAATGGCTTCTGTTATAATTCAACACGCCATTTTCAGAAGATCAGATCTTCCCTAGTGTCCTCTTCTAAAACCTTTGGAAGATAACAAGGTCTCTGGGACACTTTAAAAGCTTTTAAAGCCCCCGAAAATCAAACTGTGAGCTTTTAACAATAGCTAACCATGCACCACTGCTTATGTGTCCTGCACATGTGTGTTTGTCTTTTTTCAATCACAATGTCTATCTGTGTAAAATATGTGCAATATTCTGTTTTTGAAACAGTGATGAACCTGTCTGGAGACATCCTTGACCTGTAGAAGCACTTTGAGAATGTTTTTATCTTTAAATAGCCTAATCTATTTGCTGTCGTAATTTAATGACATAAGAAAGAAAGTGCACTTTATTGGTCCCCGTGGGGAAAATCCCTCTCTGCATTTAACCCATTCACTCAGTGAAGCAGTGGGCAGCCTTTGGGCGCCCGGGGAGCAGTGTGTAGGGACGGTACCTTGCTCAGGGGTACCTCAGGGTATCTTTTCAGGGGAATCGAACCCCCGACCTTCCGATCATGGGGCCACCACTCTACCTACTGAGCTATTCCTGCCCAAAGAAAGGCGAACGGTAGTGAAGAATGGTAATTTAAGATATTCAAATATCCAAAGGGTACATGTTCATTTCAAATGAAGCATTGCCATTATATGTGGTTTTGCTCTTTTTAAACAAAATCATACGTCTCAATGACTGCAAATATGCAGGCACCAAGGATGGTTCACAGGGTCATGACTGGTCACGTCATCTGAGGTCTGTAACAAGAGTCTGCATGGAGTGGTTGAACTCAGCGGAGCTCATACAAATGGGCATATTACATTATTTTTTAAATATTAAATATCATAAAAGATTATATCTATTTATATATTTAATCATTTGTTTTCCTCTAGAATGGAAATTCTTAATGCATTATGCCCATCTGCAGATTTTCTTTTAGTTCTTTATGTTCCTAGATGCTCCAGATTTTAAATAGCAGATCATGTTCTGTCACAATTTATTCCCATAGAAAACTGTGAGATACATCCAACTCTAAGACCTAACATTGTCTCAAAACATATAGAAAAATGTATTTTTGTTCAGAAGACATGTAGATAAGCAAAAGTTTAAACACTGTGACTTTTCTGTACATAAATTCTAGTGTTACTGTAATTAGAATTGAATTCAAGTAAAAAAAAAAAAAATCTATGGAGCAAAGTAATCGACAAATTACAGGACTTTAGGAAATCTCCTTGGTTCAGCCAACATGCAGTATGATGTTTTGCAGTGTTGTTGATTTATTCACTGAATGACACAGCTAGCACGAGTTCTTTGATTTATGTCTCTGTCTCAGATTCACTTATTTAACGCTTTCACAAGTTCCATTTTGTTTTGTTTTCTCTCTCTCTCCTTAAAGCACAAGACACAGCTGACCTAGTACTGTTAATTGATGGATCACAGAACATTGGAGCAGCAAACTTCCCCTATGTGCGTGAATTGGTTTTGAGAATCATTGAGCGCCTTGATGTGGGCAGGGACACTGTTCGGGTGGCCTTGGTCCTGTACAACAGCAGCCCAGAGATAAAGTTCTATCTAAATAGCTTTTACAGCAAATCATCACTCCTGGATGCTGTGAAAGCCCTCACCTACACAGGGGGCGATGAATCTAACCTGGGGGCTGCCTTGGAGGAAGTGGCCGAGAGCCTTTTAAGTGAAACATCTGGGGGCAGGGCTGACGAGGGTGTGCCCCAGATGTTGGTGGTTATCACTGCTGGGCCATCCACTGATGATACTGGTGCTGGTGACCGAGCTCTTAAGAGGGCCAGTGTTATCACATTCGGCGTGGCGATTGGTGACACTGCCACTGCAGATCTGGAAACAATTGCTACAGATATAAGTTTTGTCCAGTCAGCCTCTGATGTCAGAGAAGTTGCAAACATTGGTGACCAACTGCTTCCACTCATTAACGGGGTGATCCAGCGCACTATTATAGTTCAGAATGAGTTCACAGAAGGTATGTAACTTCTCAGTAAACCCTGGCGGGGCATTACGGTTGTGGAAGGGGACTTCATAATTCAATTGATATGTTATAGTGCACATAGTTTCTATATCCCTAATTTTAAGTTTATAACAGAAGTGGTAACACTTAGAAGTCTTATTACCATTTTAAAAATATTTGAAATTTGACTCCATTCTATTAACCCTCTCAAGGCAGACGTTGCCGATTTGCAACAGTTAAAAACTAACAACCTGATTACCCCACATACATATTTTATGAGGTTTTTTTTTACTCAGAAGTACCACTGCAGGACTTGGTTGTGCATTAGCAACAAAAAACTTAATTTGAGCCTGAGAGGGTTAACTTACATAAATGTTTGATGAAGATAAAGATGTCATTAGTACCAGACAGCCTAATAAGAAAAAGATATTTGTATGTAGGTCTGGTGCTTGTGTTTCCATAAAAGTTGGAATATGATGTCAATAAGAAGAAATCATTATAAAAACAGCATATCAAATGTTGAAACTGAGAACATTTTTGGAATTGATTGTATATATGTTTAGCTTGTCTTGTAGGTCAGTTTTTGTGAATTCAAGATTGGTAAATAATTTTATCTGCTCAGCAGTGGCCTTTTCTGTAATTGTTTTATTTCATAATGTTTTCAATTGAGTACAGGTCTGGACTGCAGGAAGGCCAGTTTAGCATCTAAGTTCTTTTACTACAAAGCTATGTTGCTGGAAAATATGTTCTCATTAAAAAGATTCAATGTAAGAGGCAACAATGTATGGGCAAATAGTAAGATTTTAATGTGTTTAAAACTTTTCACAAGTCTTATCAGCAGTTATTTTTCACTACAAAGGTAATCCACTGTTCCATTGTGATTTTGGCCCTCAACCTTTTTACACAAAATGTCTTTGGATTCTCAGAATATTTTAATATGTAATATTTAATACCTGTAGATTTTGAAATCCAAATTTTATTGTTTATTATTTCTTCAATTTTGTGTTCAGAAATTGTATTCTCAAATTGTGGAAGTGTTTATCACTGAGCAGTGAATGTCTCTAACTCTCTGGGATGCTATTTTATAATCATTTGATGCAACTTCTATTCCCAGAGTGATTCTGGAAAAAAGAAAATCAAAATGATAATGTATTTTTCAATAAACAAATTTCTCAGTTTCAGTATCTGATAGGTTGTAATCATTGTAATTAAATGCAGAATTTAAGCTTTTAGCAGATAATCGAATTCCTTTTTAAATTACTTTTTACAAAGAGTTACAGCTTTTTTTTTTTTAGGTAACTAGGATGTATGTTGCTCAAAATGTGGTTTATTAGACAATATATATTTTTAACAATGGCATAAGATCATCTTAGTTAAATCAGTTAACAGAAAGAGCTTTGTGCATTTGTATTATTTATGCAGTTTAAATTGATTTTTAAAATCTGATAGTATTAGCGTATTTAACTTATTTTCAAAGGAGCATGCACACTAGCTGTACTTTGTAAAAATATAAAAATATATGGGTTTCAGGAAATAAAATAAATCACTTTATCACTTGATCTATAGCTGTTACAACATTTCTAACATTTTGTAATTGATGTCTATTAGAAGGCATCTGAATTTTTCCTACTTTTTTCCATGTCAGTAATACTTTACCCTCATGCCAAATAATTTAATGCAAATACAAAATATACATTTATTAACAGAATATATTTTCAGAGTTTTGTCAGCCAAAAACTTAGTCTTATAGACCGATTATTATAGCATCTAATATTCCCTCCTAACTGTAATGTTCTTTGTTGTTTCTTTTTCCAGTTATTCAGTCAAAAACAGTTGGAAATCGAGACATCATTTTCCTTATTGATGGTACAATGGGACCAGCAAACATTAACAATGTGCGGAATTTCATCAGAGAGTTTGTGGAAAGCATGCCAATTGGTCCAGATCAAGTTCAAGTGGGTATTGCACAGTTTTCTGCTTCCCCGAGAGTTGAGATGGATCTCAACACCCATGGGACCAAGGAGAAAATCATTTCTGCTTTGAGTACTATCAAACCAAGATCAGCACAGGTAGTCAACATCGGAGCAGCCTTGAACTTTGTCCGGGAAAGAATGTTGCAGCCAGAGAAGGGCAGCCGTATTCAGCAGGGTGTACCCCAGCTTGTAATGTTGTTAAGCAGCAAAAGATCCAGTGACAGCGTGGAAGAACCTGCAAGTGCCCTGAGGGAACTAGGTGTGTTGACCTTGGCTGCAGGCGCAAAGGCAGCTGATGAGCAGCAGCTGAAGCAGATTGCCATTAGTGACGATGCTGTGTTCTACGACAAGGATATACGACCACTGATTAGAACCAAGAAAGAGAAAATGATAAGTGCTCTTTCTACTTTAGCTGGAGGAGTACCCACCACAACAGGTAATGCTACATCTATATAGGTTGTTGAGCCCCTAAGTGCTTGAAATGAAGGCAACAGGACACCCTTTGGTTTGTGAAGAAATTTTGATCTCACCCAAGGGTCTTTTTCAGGTCAAAAAACTGTGGCGAGCCCGAGGTATTTAACCCATGGTGGGGTTATCCCCTTGGAATTGTTACTGATAGTCGTTAACCCACTCTACAATCATGTGAGCCACCGTGTCGATCAAAGAGTTGGTTCTTAATGTCACAGGGGAAAGTCCAGTCCAGTTTAAGAAATCAAAAACAAGTCTGGTTGCTTTCATTTCAAGTGGTCAGTAATGATTTGTCTTTCAGTGAAATTCAGGATAATTAGAAAGGGAAACCTAGGACTAAAATGAACTTTTGATAAATGTGATAGATAAGGAAAACTTTGAATAAATATGTGGAAAAACAACTAAAGCAAAAGTTTCCATTCAAAATTGAAAACTAGGACAATTCTGTGATTTGTGTGGAGTATAAACACAAGAGCCAGTTTCATGCCAGCTGAAAAATATAAATTGATCCTGAGTAAGTAGTTGTGTTAGTGACATTTTTAGTGTTTAGTTGGCATTTTTTTTCTACTTTGGTACTACGTCTTTGTGGTTTGAAATATTCTTCACAGTTATATTTGTAAATAATTGTTAAAAAAATACAAATTGAAGTAATAAATATTGGGCACTTTACATGTTAAATTCTTCATTTGCACAGAGAGAAATGTTGCAACAGTCAATGCGTCACTATTACTGAAAGCACATGTTCATGGCATTACACAGAGAGTAATTAATACATTTTTTGTGCTTTTCTTCAGTGACGGAGGAAACCATAGTGGAGACCACAAAAATGGTCAGAGACATTGTCTTTCTTGTGGATGGCTCAAACTATGTTGGAAGCAGTAATTTGCCCTACGTGAGAGACTTTATGATCAATACGATCAACCAACTTGATGTAGGTCCTGACAGGGTCCAGGTTGGTCTCCTGCAGTTTGCTGACCGTCCAAAAATAGAATTTTACCTGAACAACTACAGGACCAGGGAAGAGGTTGTAGAAAAAATCTCTCAACTCAGGCTGACCGGAGGCTCAGCTGTGAATACAGGAGCTGCCATGAATTATGCCCTGGACAACATGTTTCACTCATCAAGGGGGTCACGCAGAAGGCAGGGAGTCCAGCAGGTGTTGGTTCTGATCACAGGTGGTTCACCCCAAGATCAGGTTAAATCTGTGGCTGACAGGTTGGCTCTGGCTGGTGTTTTGACTTTCACCGTCAGTTCTGGACAAGCAGATGAGGCCCTACTCCAGAGTGTTGCCTTTGTTCCAACTTTGGCTTTCCATGCAAGAAGCTTCTCTGGTTTACCAGGCCTTGCTGAACAAATCATGCCAGAGTTGGTAACAGTGGTTGGCGATACCGACGTGGCAGTATTCCAAGAGGAAACTGGTTAGTTTGGAATTTCTGTTTTCTTTGTCTAATAAAAATATGATCAACTGCATATCTGGCAAAACATAAATAAATGTGTATTGTATTTTTTTCCTTCAGTTGTTGGAGCTGAAAGAGATGTTGCTTTCCTCATTGATGGCACAGATCGAGTTCAAGCAGATTTTGCCTACATAAAGGATTTTATCATTAAAGTAATCGAACCACTTGACATTGGAGATGACAAGGTACGAGTTTCAGTGGTTCAACACAGTGAAAGGCCAACTCTAAGTTTTTACCTTAACACTTATAAAACCAAAGATGAAGTGATAAGAGCTGTCCAAGGACTCAGAGTGACTGGTGGACGTAGTTTAAACACAGGATCTGCTCTGAGATTCATGAAAGACACCATCCTGTCTGGCACTTATGGTGGTCGTGCTGCACAAAATGTCCCTCAGTTTCTGATTGTTTTGACTGGAGGCCGATCTACGGATAATGTAAGGGAACCCGCTGGAGCACTGAAGACAGATGGAGTTGTACCGTTTGGTGTTGGTGTCAAGGACGCAGACCCAAAGCAGATTGAGGCCATCTCGCACAACCCTTCTTTTGCCTTCAACGTTAAGGAATTCAGTGAGCTCAGCACCATACCGCAAAGACTGAATAATTATGTGAGCCTACCAAGGGAAGAGTTAGAGGTCGTCCTACAGCAAGGTAAGATTTTTTTTTTTCGGGTGTCCGGAACTCACAAAATCTGCAATTTTTGGTGCTTTTTATCTCATCTAACTTATGTTAACCCCATTTTAATCTTAATTAGATTCTTATTGTTGTCTTAACACAAGGTGATGCTGTAAAAATAAATATCGTGTTCCTATTTGATGGCACTGATAAGACTGGAAATGGATTGACAGACATTAAACACTTTGTTAAAAACATAGCAGAGAACCTTTATATCAGTGAGAACCAAGATAGACTGTCTGTGGTTCAGTTTGCAGATAACACTCAGGTCAGCTTTTATCTAAATTCTCACAAGACAAAGAATTACAATTTAAATGCGATAGACATTTTAAGGCACAAATGAGGGACATGCCATAATATTGGTGCAGCTCTTCAGTTTGTGATGCATAGTGTCTTTACTTCCTCCATGGGTAGCAGAAGACTAAAAAGGAATCATCCAGATTTTAATTAAGTGGCAAACTGTCCACTGATAATGCGAGAAGGCCAGCTTTTCCTCTTAAAGAACATTACATTTTACATAACATTTTGGAGTGAGAGATGCCAAAATATCAGAGTTGGAAATGATTGCGCTCAAACCTAGTTTCACATATAAGGTTTCTGAATTACCCTCAGTCCAGTCACAACTTATTATTTCACTGAACAGACACAAAGACACTCAAGACAAAGCTGTCATGTCAGTGTATAAGCTAATATTATTTCATCAGGACAAGTTTTACTCCTTCGCACAGTTGCATTTTCTCATAAAACTAACATATCCCTAAACTCGAATGATTGATAAGATTTTATTTGGTGATTTTGGTAATTATTCACCCCATTATTTAAGCCATTTCTATTGTGTAAAATTCATGATTGTTCTCACTAAAAAGCCTATTCTAGCTGAAAAAGAAATAAATTTTGGTGTGTTTTTTGGTTTTATCTTTTCTTTCCAAGTGTCCATTTCACTTACTACTTTGAAGTCACTTGGAAGATCAGTCATTCAATTGTCTTATACATCTTTTTTTGGTAAAAAGATGTTTTTCTTCCCACTTTTCAGAGCAATAGCTCACATCTTTACAGCTCAGTTTTTTCACTGAGCTTGACTTGCTCATGCTAATAAATATGCATGACTGTTAGAACATCTCAAATGCGTAATTCGCAAATCTTCTATCCATCCTTGTATCATCTAGTTGACACACGGAGGGACATAGTGTTTCTCCTTGATGGGTCAGATGACTCCAGAAATGGTCTCCCAGCTATTCGAGAGTTCGTCAGAAGAATGGTTGAAGAGTTGGACGTTGGCGAAGATAAGGTTCGAGTGGGCGTTATACTGTATAGTGATGATGCCTCAATTTACTTCAACCTAATAACTCACAGATCCAAAAAAGCTATTATCTATGCTGTAAGAAGTCTTCGACATAAAGGAGGGAAATCTCGCAATACTGGAGCTGCTTTACAGTTTGTGCAAGACCATGTTTTCACAACTTCATCTGGGAGTAGACACCTGGAGGGAGTTCCTCAGATTCTTTTTTTGCTCACTGGGGGAAAATCCAAAGATGATGTTTCCAGAGCTGCATTTGGACTAAAGCAAATTGGTGTTATGTCTTTTGCAATTGGAATGAAAAATGCTGGACAAGAGGAACTTCAAAAAATTGCCTTCTCCTCCAGATATGTTTTCAACTTGCCTTTCTTTGCTGAAATTTTGTCCATTCAGCCAGATTTAGTAGCATTTGTCCAGACAGAAATATCAGCTAAGCCTGCTACTGTTGTAGGTAAGAAACAAATGTAATATATAATTTAAATTTAAACTGACTCGCTGTTTCTGTTCTTGCTCATTTGGTCTTTCTTAATTTCAAATGTGATGAAACTGAATTATTTTCTGAAGAATGTCATTGATTCAGTTTCACATTTGTTAAATTCTCTTCACTGGCCAGACATATCTTACGTGTTACTTGCTTCTTGGTTGGCTGCCATCCTTTTTTTTTCTTGTACTCCAGAGAGCTTTTCTTTCTTTTCTTAAGCTCTCCCTTGAGCCAGTGATAATCACATCATTGACTGAAAATATGTTCTTTTGAACAAAAGAACTTGTTTGGCTTTAATCTATCTTTCATGCGTGAAAGATGAATATGCTACTTAGCTTGTAATTTCTCAATATTTTTCTTTGTTAGTCAGTTTTCCTACAAATTGTTGCATCTAACACATCGTTTAAAACAATAATTCTTTGAATTTCATTACCAGTTTTAGTATATTTGCCAACAACATAATGGCTAATTATTGCACTACAGTACATTTTGGCTTATGTTTATGTTTGACTGCTAAACGAGGTTTTCATATTCTTTCTCTGAATTAGAATCTCCTCAAAGAGACATAGTATTCCTTTTGGATGGATCGGATAATACACAAAGTGACTTCCCAGCAATAAGGAGTTTTGTGGAACAAATGGTAGAAACACTCACAGTTGATGAGAACAGAGATCGTATTTCTGTGGTTCAGTATAGCGGAGATCCACAGACACATTTCAATTTGAACACCTACATGGCAAAACAAGATGTTCTCGGTGCAATCCAACGTTTGAACCATAAAGGAGGCATATCCCTCAACACTGGGGTAGCTCTTGACTATGTAAGAAAAAATGCTTTTGCCGAGTCCTCAGGTAGTCGGCATCAACAAGGTGTCCCTCAGATATTGATTCTGCTGAGCGATGGAAGATCTCAAGATGATGTTGCAAGTGCTGCTGCTGCTCTAAAACAGGAAAAAATTGTTCCAGTCTGTGTGGGTACCAGTAATGCAAACATACTTGAGCTCCAAATGATTGCACATGACCCTTCCTATGCCTTCTCCATAACTCAATTTGATGATATTGAGAGAATGAATGATCAACTTGTGTCACTTCTAAAAAGGGTTCCTCGGCAGCAGCCAAGACAAAAATCACAAAGCCCTTTAGGTAAGGCTTTTTATTGATGTTTTCATGGTCTATCTGTCTTATAATGCTTAACTCTAACTTAGCATCATCATTTCTGTCAAGCTCCTGCAGGTCAAAATGAACCCATTCAACGTGATATTGTGTTTTTACTGGATTCCTCTGATAAAATGCAGAAAACCTTCAATGTTGTTCTTGGCTTTGTTGGAAGAATCATGGAGACACTCAGTGTGGACAAAAACAAAGATCGTGTTTCAGTAGTGCAGTACAGCAGAGAACCTTCTGTTGATTTTCTCCTAAATACATACAACACAAAGCAAGATGTTGCTGACAGTTTGCGAAGGTTGAGGCATAAAGGAGGTGAACCCCTCAATACTGGTGCAGCCCTGCAGTATGTCAAGGATAATGTTTTAACAGCTTCCTCTGGAAGTAGGCACCAGCAAGGTGTCCCCCAGATTTTGATTCTTTTAATTGGTGGACGTTCCAGTGATGATGTCAGAAATGCTGCTGAAAACTTGAATGAAATGGGTGTAACAACTTTTGTGGTTGGAATAGATCATGCAGACACCCTTGAGATTCAGTCTATTGCACAAAAATCAGACCGTGCTTTCCATGCAGCAGATATCAATAATCTATCAGATATTGAACAACTAATCATTTCTACCATGAAGGAGATTAAAAACCCTGCCATCAAACCACCATCGCACGGTAAGGTTTTAATGGTTAGCTCTTACACTGGGCGCGCGACTTAATGGATTGTCAGATTGTTGCAGACATGAAATCCCTTATTTTCGGTGAACGATAGATGATGAACTCCTTCACATTCAAATCTTTTGCTTGACAGAATCCTTTGCTTGATTAGTTGTAATTGAAGCACAAGCTGTGTATGCAGGATAAATGCATATTTACAAGAACAATTTTATTTTTCAATGTCATCATCAACCAGTTTGTTCAAATTCCTCTTTGATTACAGATCCCAACGGAAGAGACATTGTTTTTTTGCTTGATGGTTCTGATGATTCTCAGCAAAAATTCCCAGATATTATTGACTTTGTAAAGAGGATAACAAAGCATCTAAACGTTGATATAAACAAAGATCGCATGGCTGTGGTCCAGTACAGTGACACTGCAGAGATTAATTTTAACTTGAGTCGTTATTCAACAAAGAATGATATTCTTAAAGCAGTAAATGGTCTGAGACACAAAGGGGGTTATCCTCACAACATTGGAGCTGCTCTCCAGTACTTGAAGGAACATGTATATACCCCTATGTCTGGTAGTAGACGTCAGGAGGGAATTCCACAGATACTCATACTACTGATTGGTGGACGATCTGCAGATGACATAAGAACCCCAGCCAGAATGATGAAGCAAATTGGTGCCATTTCAGTTGTAATTGGGACATCTGATGCTGACACTCTAGAGCTACAGACAATAGCTCATGAACCCAAGTACGCACTCCCAGTTGCTGAATATGGGCAACTTCCTAGTGTTCAGGAAGATGTGTTGGCATTGATAAGAGAGGCTTTGCACAGTGTAGAACAAATTGCTCCCACAGCAGGTCTCGGTAAGAATCAATGTTTTCATTATCTAGTAAAGAAGAGAGATTGGAGGATTTTCAGAAACCGTCATTGTCACATTCTGTTTACATTTTTTTTTTTGCAGATTCTAAGAAAAATGATGTAGTGTTTCTCATTGATGGATCATATGACTCACTGAATGGTTTTGAAGAAATACGAAGCTTTATTGAAAAAACTGTGGAAAGTTTAAATTTGGGCAATGATAGAGACCAAGTGGCTGTTGTTCAGTACAGTCGTGATGCCACTGTTAATTTTTACTTGAATTCTTATTCTTCCAAGAATGATGTGCTCAATTCCATAAGAACAATGAGACATAAATTTGGAAGACCACTGAACATTGGAAAAGCACTGGAGTTTGTCAGAGACAACGTCTTTTCTGCTTCAGTTGGAGGCAGACGTGCAGACTTGGTCCCTCAATATCTGTATGTTTTTAGTGGTGGAAGATCTGGAGATGATGTCAGAGGACCAGCACAATCACTCAAAGACAATGGCATCAAAACCTTTAGTATTGGAACGGAGAATGCTGATACTTTGGAAATGCAGACTATCTCCTATACACCAGCACATTATTTTTATGTCACAAACTATAATAATCTACAAAGCTTAGATCCATCAGTGGAAGCCATGTTGAGGGGCACTAAAGAAACAACTGAATTTTCAACTATTGGTAAGAGTAACAACAATTTATAATAGCTTCCTTCTGGACATGATTGCATATTATGATTATTGTTTAGGTTATATGTAAGAGGTAAATTTTGTAAAATATTTCATAACCCATTTCAGATACATCTGTGACAGCAGAAGCAGGATTCCAGAGTGCTGATATTGTTTTTCTTCTTGATGGATCTGATGATATGCAACCAAGTGAACAACAAGCTTTGGAATTTGTCAGAGAGTTTGTCAAGCAAATAGAAATTGGGCCAAGAAAAGCACAAGTTGCTTTAATCCAGTACAGCACAGAGCCCACAACTGAGTTTCTTCTAAACAAATACTTAATGAAAGATGATATTATTAATCATTTGGACAACATGAAACTGAAAGGAGGGTCCACTGTGAACATTGGTGTAGCCCTTGATTATGTGAAAAATAATGTCTTCACTGCTTCATCTGGAAGCAGAGCACTGCATGCAGTCCCACAGATACTGATACTCTTCAGTGGAAGAAATTCAAATGATGAAATCTTAGGTCCATTAGAAAGGCTCCGAAATGTGGGAATTGTTCTTTTTGGCATTGGTGTGAATAATGCTGATAGGTTTGAGATGGAACAATTAGCTCCTACAGCAATGTATTTTATAAAGAATACTTCTGACTTTCCTCATGTGAGAGAGCAGTTGCTGTCTGTCATATCCTCTCTCAAAAGTACTATCACACCTCATGTGGGTAAGTGAAAATAACATTTGATGATATGAAGTTTGATTAAACAAATATCTCATTTAATATTATTTAAATACAAACCTTGTAAACCTCATGTTGAAGTGTCTTCAACAGTAATTTGATGACTGTTGAATTGGTTAGAAACAACATTTACACATTTACATGATTTTGAATTTTTTTAGGTTCAAGCTCCAGCATAAAACGAGATATTGTATTTCTCATTGATGGATCTGATGATGTCAGGATGAGTTTCAGTGCCATACGTGAATTTGTTGCCAGAATGGTTGCGAGCTTTGACCTGGACCAAAGAAAAGATAAAGTTGCAGTTGTGCAGTATAGCAACAATGCTGAACTTAACTTTAATCTGGATACTTACGAAACAAAAGCTGATGTCCTAAAGCACATTACAAGTCTTAAACCCAAAGGTGGAAGGCCACAGTATATTGGGGCAGGACTGCAATTTGTGAAGGATAATGTCTTTGTTCCAAATGCTGGAAATCGACAACATGAAGGAGTCAAACAAATACTTATTGTATTGGCTGGTGGAAGATCAAGAGATTCTCCAAGAGGACCAGCAAGTATGCTTAAAACAGCAGGTGTCACTACATTTGCAATTGGATCAAGAATGTCCAATTCAGCTGAGATGGAAATGATTTCATCAAACCCAAATTTCAAATACTCAGTCCCCGACTTTGTAAATCTGCCACGAATTCAGGAAAGTTTGAACAGTCACTTTACTAAAATGGCAGTTGAAGGGGAAACAATGGGAGGTAAGAATTTAAATGATTTGTCAAATTTAATACGTTAATTTTAATATGTACATTTTATTCAAGTGAATTAGAGGTGAGTAAAAATTAATCAGCAACTGTATTTCTAATTAAAGAAGAAAAAAAAGAAAACAATGAGTGTGAGTTGAATAAATGGCTTTATGTTGAAGAACATTTGACAAGCTAAGATAAACATGTTGAAAACTTTATATCCCTTAGTGGTCAGACAGCCAGCAGGAAGGGATGTGGTGTTTTTGCTGGATGGATCTGATGCTACTAGAAGTGGATTCCCAGCTATGAGAGACTTTGTCCAAAAACAAGTAGACACACTCAGTGTGGATGATGGCAAAGACCGTGTGTCGGTTGTTCAGTACAGCAGCGATCCAGCCGTCCAGTTCTATCTGAACACGTACACCACAAAAAGAGAGGTCCTTGACAGTGTCAGAGGTTTGAGGCACAAAGGCGGACGACCCCTCAACACTGGAGCAGCTCTCCGGTACTTGAGGATAACTGTCTTCACGGCCTCTGCCGGAAGCAGGCGGCCATCAGGAGTTCCGCAGGTCCTAATATTGATCACTGGTGGAAGATCATTTGACAGTATTGATGAACCAGCCTCTGCTCTCAAACAGCTGGGTGTCTTGACCATTGCAATTGGAACCCGAGGCTCTGACCCCAGAGAACTTCAGACCATAACTGGCGAGCCCAGTTATGCCTATCTGTGTCTGAACTTCACTGACCTACCCAAAGTGCAACAGCAACTTCAGTCCTCTCTGGAAGCTGCAGTTATTGAATTCACCCCAGAATTACCAACCGTAATTGGTACGTTGTCAGACACATCCTATTGCTGGCTCCAAAAGTTACTAATTTCAGCTACAGTGAGGAAAAGCAAATAAATGAATGTGATTTTCTGGTGCATTTCAAACCAGTTGGAAGCATGCTTTGGTCTTTCTTAAATAGAAGTTTGCCAGGCTATTGTCTTTAAGACTTTGAGAACATAGTATGATCGTTTGAACTTCTGTGAGAACACAGAACTTTCCATCATCTGCTTTAAGCTACGATATTTAATTTTTTGTCAATCACTCTTTTGAACTTCTTATTGTTGAAGTTCATTTTAAATTGTCTTTTGAGGCTGCAGTTTTCATTATTATCCCCCAGCCACCAACCTTATATAGTTTGTTATCCATTAAACCAACGATTCTTTCACTGCTATTTTCATCAAATAATCTCACGTCTTTTACATCTGTAGAATTTGTCACTTTTTGAACTACTATAGTTAAAAGCATTTAATAATATAAATCATTATACATGAAATGAATCAATTTGTCACATGCCATGTGCCAACATGCAGAGTAGTTGCCTAAATTCTAGCCCCACTCATTTCTTTTATCTCATAATGCCATTAAAAGTGTTATAAATGATTAATAATGCATATGAATTCTAACTGATTACAATGCTGAGGCTCCACCGATGAAGACAGTTTGCAATCAAAAGTGATTGAGTCCCTGGTATAACTCACAGACACACACATACTTAAATGCAGGTAACATGTAAGCTCTAGAAAACATGTTGCTATCTATACAAAGTTATCTATACTGTAGAGATCTCTGGATAACCAGGATATCTTACTGTTAACCAATGATCCTTAAAACTAAGTCAACTCCAGTTTTCTTTTCACCACTGTAGCCAGGCTGACAATTAGTCAGAGCTCTGTTGAGCTCTTACTTCTTTGAGACTGTTCAATAAAGTCCTGCAATTAAACTTAAATAGGATCTCTGTGAATATACCCACAAACATGTTTAACAGATCATTTTCATAACTTGAAAGTCAAATATAAATTTAATTTCAAAGACTTATGTACAAATTTTGCAAACAACATAAATATATACATAACTATTTACATTAAAATGCAGGCAATGTCTCAGGCATTTTTTGTGCAGTGATTTACAAACCAATAATGTATTACAATAGATGCCACAAGACAGATCAGACGTTCTTGTCTAGTCATTTTTGACCAGGATACGTCCTTTAATGTGCATATTCAGCACATTAAATTTATTGCAGCAATTGTGCAATAAATGAATAAACAAAAATAAAAACATCAAGTCTCGGAGTGATGCTGACAAACTAGTTATTGAATTTATTACTCCTAGGCTGGACTATTGTAATTAATTAGTGTTGCGCTGTCCTAAAAACTTCCTGGATCAGGTGACCTTGAATCCTCCGTTAGTTACGCTGCAACAGCTTTAGGCTGCTGGGTGACGTAAAATTATGTTGTTGTTTTGTTTTTTTAAATATAGAGCTCTCAAGAATGTTTGATTATCAGAAGAACATTTTAAAAGGGCCTTCTTTTCATTCATTTGGGGTCATACCTAAAGTCTAATTTTTTTGAGTTTCTCATTTGGAGAACCGGTGTTGAAATGTAAAATGTTCATAATTTGATTTAATTTGGGGTTTTATGAAACTTTCTAGCTGAAAGTTTTGAAAAACTTGGAAATGAGTAAGATAGATTAAGAGATATACAACTTTTTTTTGTCAAAAACAGGAAAAAAGTGACTTATTTCTTCGAATATGCACCAGAATCTTCATGATAAAAAAAGATGTAGGCTCAATTTACCACCAATACGACTATTTTATTGTCATACATTGATGAAACTGAGCCTAATATCAACTTCTGTCTTTTCCAGCTGCATCACAGGGCCCCAAGAAGGATGTCGTGTTCCTCGTTGATGGATCTGATGGCGTTGGAAGGGAATTTCCAATCATCCAGGAGTTTATCCGCAGGGTCGTCGAGAGTCTCAATGTGGGCGAAAATAAAATCCGTGTTGGTGTGGTCCAGTATGGTGACACTGCTCGGGCTAATATGTATTTAAACACACATACAACCAAAGAAGGTGTTTTGAATGGCATCAAGGGAATGAGGAAGCAAGGTGGAACACAACGTAACCTGGGTCAGGCCTTACAGTTTCTTAATCAGGATATTCTGACAGCAGCACGGGGTAGCAGAAAGCAGGATGGTGTTCCACAATTTGTTATTGTTGTGTCTAGTGGGCCTTCTACAGATGATGTCCGTCGTGCAGCTTCTTCTCTTAAACAATCTAGAGTTCTTCCATTCAGCATTGGGACCAGGGATGTGAACCCCACAGAGCTGAGGGTGGTGTCGTATATCTCCAATTACGCCCACGTAATAGATGACCTTCCTGGCCTGTACACAGTTCAAGAAGAATTAATCAACAAACTCACTGAGCTGTCAGATGATGACATCAGCAGGTTGCGTCCAGAGTTCCCAACTTATGAAGGTAAATTGAATTTAATAAAATCTACAGGTTAACACAGTCCTCAATTTATATTATTACTGTGTTACTACTATATTAAAGCTAGAATTATACCCCAAATCATACTGTATGTTATATATATTTATCTGTGTACACTATTAGGAACTCTCCATTCAGGGTTAGTAATCAGACTGTGTTATTTTGCTTCTATTCCTTTCAAGCACCAGTACCATCTGTACCCACAGGAGGAGAAAAAAGGGATGTTGTATTTCTCATTGATGGCACAACAGCAGTGCGTAGTGAATTCCCTTCCATCCGTGATATGATAGGAAGAGTTGTGGAGAAGCTGGATGTAGGACTGGATAAGGTCCGAGTTTCAGTGGTTCAGTACAGCGATGATCCAAAGATAGAATTTCTATTGAATGCACACTCAACAAAAAATGAAGTGCTCCAGGCCGTGTCGAGACTTCGAAACAAAGGTGGAAATAATCTAAACACAGGACGTGCTCTCGAGTTTGTCGCCAGAAGAGTCTACCAGAGATCAGGCGGAAGCCGTCTTGAGGAACGTGTGCCTCAATTCCTCATTCTAGTTACGGCTGGCAAATCTACTGATGATGTATCCAGCTCAGCCAATGAACTCAAGAAAAGCCTGATAGCACCTCTGGCCATTGGTACAAGAAATGCAGACCAAGATGAACTGAGACAGATTTCCATGAAGCCAGAGCTTGTGTATACAGTTGACAGCTTGAGAGATTTTTCAAAGGTGGAAAAACAGCTTATTGATTCAGTCAAGAAAATATCCACCGATGATATCACTGAAATTTATACTCGTGTCCCAGAAGGTAAGAAATAGTGTGTAATCATTCTGTATATTTAAGACTCCAATTAAGTTCAACTGAAAGTGCTAAAGGCAGTTACTGATTGTCTACATCATTTGCTTTTTATAATTTACCTTCACTGTTATGGAGGCATTTCTTTCCTTATGTTGTGTTTTTTTTTTTTTCAGTCATTCTAGATCTCGGGAAAAAGGACATTATTTTCCTAATTGATGGCTCAGATAATACAGATTCTGAAGGGATTGCTCACATCCGTGACTTCATCCTCAAAATTGTTGAACAACTTGATGTGCAGCCCGATAAAATTCGTGTCGCTCTTGTCCAGTATGCAGACAAAGTTAAAACTGAATTTTCGCTCAATTCACACAACAACAAGGCAGCTGTTCTCTCTGCTATCAGAAGACTCCGTCAGATGGGTGGACGATCGTCAGACCTGGCTGATGCTATTGATCACGTTCTGCGCTTTGAGTTAAACTCTTTTGCTGGTGCTCGACCAACTGAGGCCTCCCAGCATCTTGTGGTTCTCACAGGTGGACGTTCACCCCAAGATGTTTCCCTCTATGGACCTTTGCTCAAGACCTCCCGAGTTAACTGTATTGGTATTGGTGCTGATCGTGCTGACACAAGGCAACTGATGAGTATTTCCAAGAGCTCCGCTGATGTCATTCAGGTTTCTAAGTTCTCAAACCTGCCAACAATAAAGGACAAGTTTATTAACAGGTTGAATGTTGTTGAGGATACATCAGGATATGACACTCCAAGTAAGTAACACTAAAATGTACTCATTTTACAGGGCCTAGAATGATTAGGACGTGTTGTGGATTTGGACTAAAAACCAAGGTAAATATTTTCAATATAAACATATCTTAACATATCTGTATTTCCCTTCTTGTAGCACCAGGCCTGCCTCCATCTAAAAAGGCTGATATAGTGTTTTTGGTGGATGGCTCCATTAATGTGGGCCGTGAGGACTTCAAAGAAATCATGATTTTTATCAACAACTTAATTGATCTGTTCTTCACTGAGAGAGATAACCTACAGATTGGCTTGGCACATTATGCTGAAGATGTCAATGATGGCTTTTACCTCAACACATACAGTAACAGGGATGAGATGCTAAATGCTCTTGGTCAAATAGAGTACAAAGGTGGACGCAGACTGAACACCGGTGCAGCCCTTCGCACTATTCAAGATGTTTACTTTTCTAAACAAAGGGGCAGTAGGGCTGATGAGGGCACTCCTCAAATTCTTATAACTGTCACTGGAGGAAACTCAGCTGATGACAGTAAATCAGCAGTGCTTGGCTTGAAGAATAAAGGTGTAAGAGTCTTTGCAGTGGGAGTGGGCAACATTCAGAATGAGTTGGAAAACCTGGCAAGTGAACCTTCCATGGTGGCTCGAGCAAGTACCGTTCAGGAACTCTCAGAGCTCAATGAACAAATCCTGGAAACTCTGGATGATGAAGTAAAAGGGAAGCTGTGTGTCGGTGCGAAAGAACTTGCTAAAAGTAAGAGAAGTAATATTATGTGTTTCTTGCTTGTCGATGATACATTAAATTAAATGATTAAAGGTTGTCACATGATTTGGGGTGACCAAAAGTGTCTAAGGTAAAATAATATTATGTTTTACAGCCTCCAATATAGAAGTGTTGGTCGGATTTGATGTGTCTGCCCAGAATATTTTCAGTTCTCAGACCAACCTCCAGAGCAAGATGGAGGCTATTTTGCAGAGGATTTCCAAAATGGCATCCATTAGCTGCTCCGATGGGCAGATTCCATCTGTACAAGTGGGCATGCTGGCCATGGATTCTGCTTCTGAGCCGGTCCAGCTGGACTTCACAACAAATCCAGATGAGTTATTTGAGGCTTTCAGAGCCTTGCGGAGTCGTGGCCCCTTTGTTCTCAATGGCAAGACCATATCAGCTTACACCAACAGATTCAAAGTCAGACAGGATGACACTGTCAAGGTTAGTTACTCAAATATACTAAAGTAGAAATGGCCCAAGCAGTTTACATGCGTCGGTGTCAGGGCTATTCTAGGAATATTTCAATATCTGCTAAAATAATGTATATCTCAAGTTGATGTTGAAAATGTCATGTATTTTCACAAGAGTCATAAAATTTCTCTTGTGCATTTGCTTCAACTGGTGCACTTCTTAGTTAACATTTCATTCATGTATTAATAATCTGACTTGATTGGCTTAGCAACTTAGTGTAATTATTGAGCTGAGTTAGTTTGACCTATAGACATTGCTGACAAAACTAAAAAAAACGCAAAACAAGCAAAAAAACAAAGAAACCCCAAAACAAAACAAAAAAACACAAACAAACCAAAAGCTTTTTTTAGGTTGTTGGTTTTTACCTGGGACACCATATACCATCAGAATAGCTTTAGTATGCCATGACCTTGAATCTTTCCTGGAGCTAAAGTAAAAATTTCCACTTGAAATCAGCCAGATCCCCTCATTGTTGGGGTCAGTTGTTTAGGTTTGTCCTTGAATTAGTCACTGCCAGTGTATATTAATTGTATTTTTTTAATATTAAAGAATACGATCAAGGCTAAAAAACCTTTTTGCCAAACTGTAGAGTTTAAACTTTAGAGTTTATACAGTGAAAAGACTATTGGAAACTTGAAAATTAAGAAAGTATAAAACTTGTATTTTTGCTATTTTCCCCTGAAGGTTGTTATTCATCTGACTGATGGTATTGATGCTCCATATGATGAAATGAAAAGGCGAGTTGAGGAGCTTCGGCTGTCAGGTAAAAAGATGATGAAACATAAAGTGCACTCAGGTATTATCTATTCTGAAATCGCAAAGGTAATTGGTGAACTTAAATATGTTGCGTTTTGGAAAACAGGAGTGAACAGTTTCATTCTGGTTGGGTTGGAGGGGGTACCCAAATTGGAAGAGGCGTCGCTATTAGAATTTGGTCGTGGCTTCAGGTACACAAGACCCTTAAGACTGAATATCATGGACTTGGACTATGAGCTTCTGGAAGAACTGGTGGGTACTGATGATTAATAAATAAAAACTATGCCTTTCATTTATGACACCCATAAACTGAAAATGCTTTCTTTTACTGCACAGGACAACATTGCAGAAAGAGAGATCTGTGGAGTGCCATGCAAATGTACTGGCAACAGAGGAGACAGAGGAGGAGTTGGACAGCCTGGATCTAAGGTATCTTATCCTAAAAAATACCCCTCAGTTATACTTGGAGATTTTGTTTTTAATTACAAAGCTTATATATGTTTTGTTTTTGTCTGTCAGGGTGGTCCAGGATTGTCAGGAAGTCAAGGACATCCTGGAGATGAAGGTGGACCTGTAAGTTTGAATGTTTTGTTTATGGTTGTTGTTCTATTATCTTCTTCATTTATCACCTCTCTGTGTCCTTTCTTAAGATTCTGTTCTTTGGTATTTTGTCAGTGAATTTTGTTGTCATGTTCTGTTAATACAGGGGGAACGGGGTCCTCCTGGTGTGAATGGAACCCAGGGTTTCCAAGGATGTCCTGGCCAGAGAGGTATCAAGGTAAGCCCTTTAATATTAACCCTGCCATTCAAGTTGTGTGGTTTAATTGTTATATATTGTTTTATTCGTGAATACAATAATCTAACACTCTTTATTTCTATTTAGGGGTCTCGTGGATACTCAGGAGAAAAGGTACGTTTCTTTCTTTCTTTCTTTCTGTCTTTCTTTCTGTCTGTCTTTCTTTCTTACATTCTGACAAAAAAAGGCTAACCCACTGCCCCCTTATTTCAGGGTGAAGCTGGAGAACTTGGTCTTGATGGCATCAATGGAGAAGAGGTGAGTCATGTATTTTGTCTTTTATGCTATGTGTTCCATATATTAACAATTAATCATACAAAATCATATAAAATTATCAGCTTTAAAGGCTGTGTTTGATTTGGTTTTAGGGCAAAAGTGGTGTGGCTGGGCCCCCTGGCGAAAGAGGAAACCCTGGCAGAAGAGTGAGTGACTAGATGCATCTGGGTTTTTTTTTTTTCTTAATACTGAATATGGTTAATGCTGAGAAATTCTTTTGCTTTTTTAGGGTCCCAAAGGTGCCAAAGGACAAACAGGAGACATAGGACAACAGGGAATCAGAGGAAACCCTGTAAGAAGCTGATTATTATGGCATAGTTTTTGACTGATTTTATGTGCATCACTTTTATTTTGCATGCATACATAGTATGTGAGAAAGGAATGTGTAAGAAGAGAGTGTTACTAATGCTACATGTGAAGCTGCACATACTTACTTTCTAATGAATACAGTTCTTGTGATAAAGGCAATGTTTAAATATGGTTATGTCGTTTGGTTTTTTTAAGACAAATTTGTATTTATTGGTGTTTGGATGTAGCAGCGACTGAAAGAGTGATTTCTGTTTAATAGGGAACAACTGGACAAGATAACAACCAGGCAGGACCCAAAGGAGACCCTGGTGATGCTGGACCAGCGGTAATACCCCCCTGAGCTAATTATAGTGCTGCTGAAATAAATCCTGCATCTCTGTACTCGATTTAATTTTTGAGGCTTAATATCGCTTGTATATTGTTCGTTTGTTTTGTTGTTTTATTTATTTTTTGGATATCTCTCAGCATGAATTTAATTCACTGGGATGTTTGTCCTGTATGACAGGGAGAGCCTGGTCAGGATGGAAGGAGGGGAGGCCCTGGTGAACCTGGAAGAAGGGTAAACACTTTCACTGTCTTTTCTGATCACTTACTTGCCAAAGATTATGTTAATGAAGGTTTTTTTTATTTTATTTATTTTTTAATTAACTCATTCCTCATTAGGGACCCAATGGTAGAAGAGGTTCACTTGGACCAGCTGTAAGTGCCTTTTTCATTGTTAAAATAGAGTTTAATACCTGCCCTCGTAATGACAGTAACATCTTTCTGCATTATCATTAAAGGGAAATGTTGGAGGCCCTGGAGCGCCTGGTGTGCAGGGAGAGTCTGGTATTGATGGACCAAGGGTAAGTTTGTCATCTTCTCACCCTATTTTGGTGCATAGGGTGCATATCTGTCTGTCTGTCTGTCTGTCTGTCTGTCTGTCTGTCTGTCTGTCTCATGAACTGGTACTGCAGCTCTAATATGCAAGTAAGTCGTGCATCACTGATGGCGGATTTGTCTTTTTCCAAGGGTCCGCCTGGACCAAATAGTGCACCAGGAGCAAGAGGAGAAGATGGAAATCCTGGACCTAGAGTGAGTGAATACAGTAGGTCAAATTTTCTATGTTGATTGCATTCAAAATCTAATTTTAATGTTCTAATTTCTTCTTGTCTAGGGTCCTGGAGGTACCCCAGGTCCTAGTGGAGAAAAAGGTAGAAGAGGACCTCTTGGTCGCAAGGTACTGAATGGAACTAAATTTGGAGTGGCTCATGTTCTTTCATAACAAGTTTGATTTAATCATAAACACACTGGCTTAAGCCAAGCTCTATCACATTACTGGACATACATGTGGAGTCTATTTGAGTGAACCAGAAAGCACTGTAAGAAAACATTAAGGATCTCCTTGCAAAACAAGCACATGTTATTAGTTAAATCTATAGTAAACCGATCATATTAAAGATATATAGTCACACTTTATTCATCACTTTGACATTTACCTTACATCTAAAGGTATTTCATTATCTTCATATCTTTGTAGGGAGAGCCAGGAGAACCAGGACCTAAAGGTGATGTTGGACCACCTGGCCCCTTTGGAGAGCCTGTAAGAGCAAATCATCTTATTTTATTGCAATGTTACTGAATGTAAATTTTCTGAATATTGAGCAAGAAATTATTGTTTAATTGGGGGGGAAAGGGAAGATGATAGCGTTGCTATTGTTCTCCCTCTGCTACCCCAGTATTTTGAATTAAAATGTGTTTTTCTTTTACAGGGTGAAGATGGTAGAGATGGTTTTGGTGTTCAAGGGCCTAAAGGAAGAAAGGCAAGTGATTTGTGAACTGAACATGCCTAATTAAAGATAACAACCCCTTCTGTAATGTTGAATAGAGCTGTATACAGGGTGATGGCTCTGATGCATCCAAAATAAAAATTATTTTTGCAGTTTTATACAAAGAGTACTTAATGCATATGTGATTCTTCTTTACAGGGAGATGAAGGATTCCCAGGATTCCCAGGTCCCAAGGTAATGCAGAACACTAGCAGTGAACCTTTAAAACAAACTGTTGTGTTTTCCTCAGATGAGTAAGCTTATTATTAGATACTCGTCATTTCCATTTATCCTCTTTTTATCCATCATTTCAGGGAGCAGCTGGAGACCCTGGCACCTCGGGTGGACCTGGATCCAGAGGAAATCGTGGACAGAGGGTAAGTTTTAAGTCCACATTTGAATAAGGTTAATATACACGTCTGCTACAGTTTCATCAGATGCCCCAGCTTTGTTCCAGATCTCAGCTGAGCAGATGTGTTTGCTGTTGTGAAGTAGAGGACAGGTTCTGAAGTTTTGGTTTAAATATATATCATGCATTCTTGGCAGCAAATGACTTGCATGCACATTTTTTTTTATGTTTGAAGATAGCGAAGTACAGGGACTCATGGTCTGTTTTAAAGTACGGACATCTGAACTGCCTTAAATGTGAATTTCTTTCTTTCCCCTAACTGTTAACTATTGCCAGGGAGTCTCTGGGGATATTGGTACACAGGGACAAAAGGGAGAAGTTGGATATCCTGGGCCATATGTAAGCATCAAAAAATCTTTTTTACAACATGCGTGAATTTAATTTGCATGACATTATGTCATCAACAAGTTTATTTCAAGTTCATTTATAACATTGCCTAGATACAGGTGTTTCATGTTTAAATACACAGTTATGGCCAATATCTTTATATTATTTTATAACCTATTAGTGTAAGCTCTTCACCTTATCCCCCCAACTGGTTGCGGCAGATGACTGCCCCCTTCCTGAGCCTGGTTCTCTCTGTGGTTTCTTACTGTTACAAGGGAGTTTTCTTCCCACTGTTGCCAAAGCTCTTGCTTATAGGGGGTCATATGATTGTTGGGGTTTTCTCTGATTTCTTTGTATTATTGTAGGGCTTTTACATTACAATATAAAGCACCTTGAGGCAACTGTTGTTGTGATATGGCGCTATATAAATAAAACTGAATCGAATTATATTGGCTGTAACTCTCACCCCTAGGCTGGATGTTTATTTAGTTGCTGATACCCTGTTTTCTCTCTAACAGGGTATCAAGGGACAAAGAGGACAAGGAGCTGTGGTATTTGATCAGATATTTGTGTGAACTGCATTGAACAGAGCATAATTTTCATAACTTTACTCAGTTCTACGCATCACAACCTTTTTTTAAATAAATGTTTCTGTGGTTTCTTTGTTCCCTCAGCAATGTGACCTTGTCAGAAAGATCAGAGACAATTGTCGTAAGTATAATTTAGTAAATTTCAGCAATGTGATTTAATTTATTTTTGTGAACTATTGATGCCTATGCACTGTGTGCTTCATGAAACATCTTACCATATTCTGTGCAATTTTCTTTACCAGCTTGCTGCTTTGGTAAGTGCAAAATGATTTGCTAATGAAATAATAATTTCTTAGACTTAGACTTTTTGTGTATGTACTGTATCCACAACCACAGTGAGAACAAACATCCTTTATGTTGACATCATTAGGTAAGCAGGAATGCCCACTCTACCCCACTGAGCTGGCTTTTGCCCTCGACATCTCACAAGGCCTTGGCCGTCCAGTCTTCAACAACATGCGTGACACAGTCCTAAACATAGTCAGAAAAATTACAATCGCTGAAAGTAACTGTCCAAGAGGAGCTCGTGTTGCTTTGACCCTGTATAACAACGAAGTCACCACTGAGGTCCGGTTTGCTGATGCCATGAAGAAACGTGCCCTGGAGGAACACATTGAAGGACTTCAGATCCCACAGACAAGAAAGCCCCGCAGCTTGGAAACAGCCATGAACTTTGTGGCCCAGAACACTTTCAAGAGGATACGCAGTGGCTTCCTCATAAGGAAGGTGGCCATCTTCTTTGTAGGTGATCAAGTTGGTCGGCCACAAGCAATTACTCGTGCAGCCCTCCGCCTTCACAACGCTGGAATTGCCACTTTGCTGCTGGTCAGACAGGAGGACAGAGCACTCTCCAGAGCGGTGCAGGTAACATAACAACATACAGCCAAAGCAAATGTTAATCTTATAGGCCATCAGTTTGTATTCAACTTATAACTTTCCTCTCCTTGTATACCAGGCCAACAACACAGCACTGGCCCAGGTCATTGTCCTTCCCAACGCTAATAGTCCACAGTACAATTCAGTCATCCAGAAGGTTATGAACTGCCATGTCTGCCTGGGTAAGACCTGTTTGGGTGGATTAGTATTTATGAAACAGCTTCTCACTTTTATTTTGTCAGATGTTGATGTACTTTTATCTAAGAATAGAGCCATTTTTTCCAAGCATTGTATAAAAAGAGACTAGATGAAAAACTGTTGAATACAGATTGTCTCAGTCCATGAAAGGAAAAAAAATGCATAATTTTATTTCTTCTTTTTTAAGATTTCTGCTCTCCGGACCAAATCTGTGACTATGTTCCCCCAACGGCTGGCCGAGATAGGAGATCTTTCACCTCAGATGTCGACATTGACATTGCTTTTGTCATGGACAGCTCTGAGTCTACCTACCCAACTGTCTTTGCCGAGATTAAACACTATATATCTTACATGGTAGAGCATCTTCATGTGTCTTCAAATCCCACATCATCTGGTAACCACGCCAGAGTGTCTGTGATTCAGCAAGCACCTTATGAGTTCCTAAATAACAAATCTGGGTCCCCCCTTCATGTTGACATTGGCTTGACTGAACACACTTCAGCACAAGATATTATCAAATTCCTGGTAGAGAAAACACCCCAGCTGGAAGGTGGCCGGGCACTCGCAGAGGCAATTGAAAGGACGGTGGATCAAGTGTTTGAGAAGGCACCTGTACAACGTGACAAAAAGGTACTCATACTGTTTGTGACAGGAAGTGTGGAACAAGACCAGGAGCAGCTGATACGCATTGCCACTGAGGTCAAGTGCAGGGGCTACTTCCTCGTCATCTTTGGTGTAGGTGAAACATTGAGTGCTAAGGATGCAAGTGTCTTGTCAAACATGGCCAGCGAGCCTTCAGATGTCTTCTTCAAGCAGCTGAAGAGTAGCTCAGACTTTTATGACAGAAATATCCAGACCTTTGGCCAGCTACTGCCCAAGTATATCAGTAGTAAGTTCAAGATATATTTTGATGGGCATGATACATTTTCAATACCTTTTGCTTTTCTTTTTTTAGTATTTTAGAATAGATTCTATTTGTTACATCAGTCTAACAAATCCTGAACTAGTTGTGTTCTATGTTGCATTGCTTTTCAGTTGAAAATGCTTTCCACATGTCCCCTGAAGTCTCCAAAAACTGCAAGTGGTTTCAGAATGACCAGCCACTAAAAAACCCCTTCACACCATCACAGGAAGTGGAGTAAGTTTTGTAATTTTTGTAATGCTGTATTATTAATGCTGGAAACATTGGTGGTTTTCTTTACAATTTTTTTTCCCTTAACATTGCCACATTTGTAGGAAACACCAGAAGCATCATGAAAATCACCAAGCAGTTCATGAAAGAAAGCACAAGGGTAAGACTGTTGTTGAACAAATTTTTCTTTACTACTTTTGCATTTTCAGCTAGAAGTACTGACAGCTTTGGTCACTTTAAGTCATACACACTGTCGCTAACTGCTAAAATTGCCTGCCCATAATTCAATAATATTTTTACACTTGTTTCAGAATATTACTTTTATCATGCTTCACAAAGTAAAGATTACTTATAAATTTATGCTTCTTGGCCATGCAGCAAAATAACATTTGTTGACATCATCCACCACAACTACAACATACTCTTTTTCTGTTATTTTCTTACACACAGATGCAGAGGAGCTGCACGTCTCTAATGTCACCTCCAGCAGCTTGAAATTGCGTTGGAGCAGGCCAGATGCAAAGCTCTTTGTTTACTTTGAGGTTGTTGTGGTGAGGCTCCATGACCATGCACTGGTGCTGAAGACCAATGTGTCGGGTACAGAGCTTGCTGTGGACAACTTGGAAAGTGCTCAAATGTATCAGGCTGTAGTCACAGCTTACACAGCCGAGGGCCAAATTGTCTCTACTCTCAAAGGCGTCATTACTACAAGTGAGTTTATAAAGACAGCTTTAGCTTTTTCAGAAATTATTCATTCATATTTTGCATGTGTTGCATATTCAACTGTAAACATGCCATTTGGGTACAGAAGTACACAAGCACAAATATGGAAGTCTTCAAAAGCTCTTATGGAGACCACTTAAAAAGAGCTAGCTTCAAGTTGTTACAGATCTATCCATTACAGGTTGTGTATCCTAATAAATTTTAGGGGTGTATAAATCTCAGTATATTAGAGATTTATTTTTTTTAAATTACCACAGGCCTGATAACTTAATGGTGATTAGATTATAAACAAAACAAAAGTGTCTGCATTCTGATGTATACCATGTACATTCATTACTGGAACAATCTTTTGCTGAAAGGTACTTGCTCATAAAGAGTTGTTTGATGTTGGGTTTTTTTGTTTTGTTTTTTTTAAACCACTGTAGGATTTTTACCTTGCAATGTAAAGTGCCCTGAGGCAACTGGTGTGATTTGACTCGAAATAAATTACCCCGAATGGAATAGAATACAACCTCTACCTGATTACCATACTTTGAATACAGATTACCCCACATAGGTACTGCAGTACAGGAGGAGGAAACTGTAATATGTGTGGACATTGGTATTAACATTTGTATTAACACCATGTAACACTGGTCTTGATTTCACAGCTGTCCCAACCCTATTTAATGGCATATAGTATGTTTTGCAACTTCACACTCAAAGTTAATACAGATTCAAATTAAATAGTTCCCCAAAATGCCAAAATAAAATAAACTAGCTTGTTTTAGCTTCTTTGGTTTTAGGGACCACCTCAATCTGTAGACACACCCTAAGAATTGCCCTTTCCTAGCTAAATTAATTAATTTATTGCATGCTTTCTATTTTTAAAGTTGTATTGACAAATACATTATTTATTATTTCACAGAAGCAGCTGAGCATAAGCTTGCCAGCCAAAACACAAGTACTCCAAATACCACACCCCTGGACAAACCAGAAACTGGTGAGTAACTTTGCATGCTTGTGTCTGTATATTGCTTGGAAACTTCTTTTCTTTTATAACATTTCCTATATAATTAGCAGCCATATATCGGAATACCAGTATATTGGACCTGTAATCAAAATGGGCCAGTAATATATCTTAGAAGTAGCCCCCATAGAGTTGTGTTTTGCTGGGTTTCCAAGGTATTATATTAGTTATGTAAATAAAACCTGTAGGTTCAAGTCAAAGATCGTGGGCTTCTGTAATGCAGCAATATCAAATGGGACTACTGCACTAATATTTTATTTATCAAGTCACTAGTACATGCAAAGATACACCGCAAGTTGTTTACAAAACCTTACAAAATCGGCAGTTTAAGCCCTAGTGTCTCGGTTTGTTAATCTAATCTTTTCCCTTATGTATCGTGACAAACAAGGCACTTGTGGGTAAAATGTGTGGCACTATGAAGAAGTTTGTTTCATCAGAAAATACCAAAGGAAAAGAAACCTTACAGCTGTTGGTCCTTGTGAAAGGCATAGAATTTAGAGCACAACTAAGGCATGAAAACACAAAAGTAACTAACATTTAATGAATTTAGTTACAACTAACTTGTCAGATCCATCCATGAAAACCTAAAAATAATCTTCTTTCATTCTAATCACAACTTTTTTTTTATTTTTTTTAATAAGCAAAACCTCTTCTAATATATTGCAATTATCCAGACTCCCATGTAGTGGATATAGTCTCATGCTGAATGCCATTTCTTTTCCTCTGCAGGCACAAAAACTAATTTAAAACCCCTTTCAAATACATCTGAACTTCTAATACATTTGTTTACATGCTACTTTCAAAGCTTACAGTTTGTTGTATGCTGTATTTGTTCATCTAATCCTCACACAAATGCATCCTCTTTCTCTATTTGTCCTCCATCACTGCTATATCACAGCTATTTGTTTGTTTGTTTTTTGTTCTGCATGTTCTAGTTAATGAATTGGCAGGCCCATGCTCGCTTGACTATGACCCTGGAATGCCCTGCAAAGACTATGAGGCTAAGTGGTTCTTTGACAGAAAGAATGGGTTCTGTGTACAATTCTGGTATGGAGGTTGTGGAGGGAATGGAAATAGGTTCGACAGTGAGGCCCTCTGCTTGAAAAACTGCGTGAGGTCAGGTAAGTGCAGAGGTGGGTCGAGTATCCAAAAATTGTACTCAAGTAAGAGTAGCATTACTTTAAACAGCGGTCTCCAACCTTTTTTGCGCCACGGACAATATTTTCACGGACCGGCCTTTAAGGTGTCGCGGATAAATACAACAAAATAAAACTAGTACCGGTACTGAAAAAAAGAAGATTTATTCATAACACACGTGAAAAGACCGATAAAAACCCTGAAAACCATACATTTCACCCCTGAGCCTCAACTCTCGCGGCCCGGTACCAAACGAGTCACGGACCGGTACCGGTCCGAGGCCCGGGGGTTGAGGACCACTGCTTTAAAATATTATTACTCAAGTAAAAGTGAAAAGTAGTCGTCAAAAAAGTTACTCAAGTAAGAGTAAAAAAGTACTTGGCGAAAAGACTACTCAAGTAGCGAGTAACTGTTTAAAATGTCCGATTTATTTTATAAATAAATGCTATCAGACAAACAAAAATAAATAAATATACAAATTGTAGTATTTTCAAAAGGAATATATGTAAAAACATCAACAAAATAAGGCACAACAACTCTAATTTCCAGATTTCCGTTTTTCACAACATAAAACTTTTTTCAACAATACCTACAGTAAATAATATAAATATATAAACAGTGCAAACAATTTCCAGTGACAAGATATGCTGTAAACTTTATATTCATTTTTGCTCCAAATGGCACAGCAGCCTCAGAGAAAACATTAGAACGAGGCATCTTCAACATATGTACATACAAGGCAGCTCAGTTTACCATAAATTGTATGGGTGTGCATTTATTTCTGCATATTTAGCAAAAATGTGCCATTTCTTCACTCACTGAGGTGATGGTTTTGCTTCAGCAGCAGTTTGCTCTCAAGGTTCTTTCTGTGAAGCTGTAACTGTTTAGCAGTGAACAGGAGTCCTGCATGACTCACAAGTACTTCACAAGCTCCAGATGCAGGAAGAGCTATATTGACTTTGATCGACAGCTTCTTGGTGTGAGGAAAGCCATGCAATACATCCACACCTCCAGTGAATGGACATGAAAGGTACCTCTCCAGCTCCCCTGCTTCTGGCTTTCCTGACCCCATGGATCCATCATCTTCGTCGAATAGGCTGCTGTTTGTGCTGGCCTCATCCAGCTCTGTGTCTAGGTGATGTCTGATGAAGTGGAGACCTGTGGAAAGATGTATGGTTTTCAAAAGAATTACCGTATTTCCCAGACTACAAAGCGCACCTGAATATTAGCCGCACAAGCTAAAATCGGGAAAATCCTGTTTTGTACATACATTAGCTGCACCTGACTAAAGGCCGCAGGTGTTTCAATGTTGACTTATCATATGTAAGAGAATATGCACAAAGGGAATTGTCAGGAAAGAGATGGCTTTTTGGAGACACACCCCTTTTATTAATATTTTGAAAAACAAGTTATGGGTGCATATTTTCATAACTTTTTAGGTATATGTACAAGTAGCGGTAATTACAAGTACGAAACATGTACTGTGCTTCATAAATGAGTAACAAATGTAGTACATAACAATAACCTACAGCACACCAGAAAAATAGATTCAGCCTACCTTTTAGGCTCAGGTATAGTGACACGGCCTTAACAAGAAGAAAAGTTAGTCATTCACCACCATCTTCCTGCGCACTAAAACCACCAAAGTCCTCTTCTCCAGTGTCGGATACGAACAGGCTCAGGATGGCTACGTCATCCCCTCTCAGCTCCTTTCCTTTGTTGTCACTTTCAAAACCAAAGAAATCCTCGTTGTCAGTGTCAGAGTCGCGCACCCTCTGAAGGGCCGTGCGGTGTCCTCCTCTCCATCATGCAGCAGTCCAGCCCTTCGAAATCCGTTGGTGATCATGGATGTTTTCACACATTTCCACGCTGTCAGATTCCACCGGTGGAGTTGAGCATAACTTGCTTTTCGCAAGTTTATCGCCGCTCGTCATCCACCACGCGTAGCGCTAATTTGAAGTTTGTTTTTCGCGCTACTTGTACAGCACTATGTTGCCTGGTGGATGGACATGTGACCAACATACCACTCTTGAACCCCGATACTGTGTGTCTGATCACATGCCCTCCCGCCAGGCAACGTAGTGCCGTACAGCAGCGGAACAGAAAAGCCGCACCTGACTAAAAGCCGCAGGGTTCAAAGCTTGTGCAAAAAGTAGCGGCTTATAGCCCGACAATTACGGTAGGTCTGGTCATTATAGTGCTGTATACACTGCCAAGCTGCAGATGTTTGTTTGGAGCTAGCCTCCAAAAGCTGGGCATACACTGTGCGATTTTTGGCCCATTTTGAGACGATTTTTCACCCGCGCAACCATTTTGGGGATCGGCCCGAGTTTTGCCTTAATCGTGTGTGCATTGTGTAGTATACATGGGGTAACGAAAAGCAGTTAACACTTCACGACCAGCTCCCAATCATCAATCATATGGTCGCATGATAATCAAACCTGTTTGAAATCCTGTCGCCCCTCAACGCAACCTCTCACACTGCGCACACACAAACACAGAAGTGAAAGTGAAAAGGTGGAGCAGCACGTCAGTGCAGCATATGATCTGGACACAAGAGATGGAGGCACAACTTGTAGGATGAGGCAAGCTCATCCGAGTACGTAAGCTAGAGCTGCCACCCAGGCAAAAGAAAAATAGAGCTATATCACGTTATAACATTAAAAGTTTATTGTTCTAACAATATACTTTTCATGTTCGTGCAATATACCTTTCACATTTGAACAATATAATATTACTTTCGTACAATATAATATTTACATTGTACGAACGTGATAATTATGTATATTGTACAAACATGAAAAGTATATTGCTCGTTATAACGTGATATAGCTCTATTTTTCTTTTGCCTGGGTGGCAGCTCTACGCTTACGTATCTGAGGCTTTTCAATGTGGCCTCACAAAATTATCACGACTACAACAACCATGAAAAGAGTTGGATGGACATTGCTGCTCAATTGCAGCTGCCTGGTCAATGTTTTTCATTAGTAATTTAGCAAAGTTGATGGTGGTGGTGTGTCTGTGTGAGTGAAAGACACAAGAGAGGGAGAGCGAGAGACAGATTTTGTATGATAAGCTTCATGTTATGGACGCACAGTTTGAGCACTCAGGTCGCATCAGAGCATCAGGCCCTGCATCGTGACCTATGAACTTCTAACCTCTGCGATTTAATTGTACAGTTTGAGCAGGAGCGGAATAACGTGACTAAAAAAAAAATCGCAGTGTTTGACCAGCTTAATGCAGACTGTTTGAACTAAACAAGCTGCTGTTTCACATAATAAACCCTGTCAGCCGCAGTATTGCCTTCTGTTTTAACAGTTAAAGCAGTAGAGACAAGCTGTTTGCATGTTCGTGGAACTCCAGCGTCATTAACCAGGCTAGCTGTTAGCTTATAGGCTAACCAGCGAGCAGTTAACAGGACAGCCGAAGCTGCACAAAACACCCACAAACTTATCTCACTACAACGTAGCGCCAAAAATATGACTCGCAGCTTGAGCTCGACACAGCTGCTGTAACATAAGACTGGCATCCAGCTAACCACAGCTAAAAAGATATTTAGAGAAAACTTACCGTTTCCTCAGGTTACACGAGTTGAGTTGTTTCACGCTGAAAAGTTGGTTTGTTTTGGCTCTCACTGAAGACACCGACACTGAAGACATACCTGTTCTTTTGTACTGCTTTTAAGCGAAACATCCTTTGTATGTGAGGAAAATGCTGTTCATCATCTTCAGCTCTAGCGTAGACTCTGCCATGTTTTCATGTTTCTTCTTTCCGTGTGTCCGCTACTTTGAAACGCTTGGGTCACTCTGCCTGCCACAGTTTCAAACTGGTCATGTGACTGCATGGCCACATCTCATTGGTAAAAAAGTTACCGGAAACTCCACTGGTGGCATGTTATCTAATGTGTTAAACTAATAATTTTTTTAAAAGTAATGAGTCGAATTTTGCAAATGTAGCGGAGTAAAAGTACCGTTTCTTCTTCACAAATGTACTCAAGTAAAAGTAAAAAGTATCGTGCAAAAAAGGTACTTTAAATGGTAAATGGTCTGTATTTATATAGTGCTTTACTAGTCCCTAAGGACCCCAAAGCGCTTTACATATCCAGTCATCCACCCATTCACACACACATTCACACACTGTACTTAAAAGTACATTTTTTTCAAAAACTTACTCAAGTAAATGTAACGGAGTAAATGTAACTCGTTACTACCCACCTCTGGGTAAGTGATGTTGTCAGGATTTCAGTGGGAGTGTGCCATCACCTGGTTAATGCAACGTATGCAACATGGGCCTCAACTAGATATGCAAAACTTACTATTTAAATTGTCATTTTTGACATATATTACGGAGCCCCTCAAGGGACATGGGAGAAAAAAAAATGAAGATGAACTTTTGCGAAATCTCGCAAAAGTTCATAGAAAGGCTTATCATACAGCTACTTCATGAATGGGCCATTGTTTGAAGTCTAGCAGATCCCAACCTAGCCTAGTTGCAACCATCTGTCATTCCTAAAAATGCACCCTTTAATATAGTTTAAGCTCCTAGAGAGTATTTTAAAATCAAAACCTTGTTAAAAACGAGGCACTAGTCATAGACACCAGAAATAATTATTTCTAGTCTAAAGCCAGTTTTTCAGGAGTCAGCTCACTTTGAGACAGTCTAATAGCATCCAAACCAGGTAGTAGGGGTGGGAGCTTATGAAACAGCCAATGAAAAATGTTGTGGTATTTATTTATGTATTTTATAACAACATCTGTCCCTTTAAGGTGAAACCACGGTAATATTTTTGTATGTTCACAGTGGGAGAGCCTCAGCCAATGGTGAAGCAAGTTGAACAGGTGGAGGTCCTCCCAGATCCTGGTAAGCTCCAATATACACTCACTGGCAATATTAAGACCTGAATATCATGATTACTTCTTTCCAAAAATATTATGTTACAAATGCTTTCCTTGCCAACCCACTTTATTGATTAGCTGAAATTGATGTAAATGCATGTGCATGGTATGCAAATATTAACCAGAAGAAAATAAACTTTCCCTTTGGTGTAGTTTTAAGCAAGCAAATCCATATCAAACCTTTTTAGACCATCATTAAACATATACATAACAGCCACTGGCTTTGGAAGTAATATCAGTGTTACGTATATTTTCCACACTGCTGTACGCTGTGCTGACTTTGCAGTACAATTAATACTATGTCTTCAGGGGCATCTGGATCCTCTACTGCCCTTCACATTCTCTAAACATGGCTGATGGTGCAAATAAAAAGCCAAGCCAAGGTTATGTTTTTTTCTCAATGGCATGAGCCAAGTCACATGGAGAAAATTAATGGAAAGAAAGCTATATTCAAGGATTCATTACTTTTTTTTAGCAGAAGGCTTATTAGATAACAAGGTTAAGTCATCAGTAACTTATCATCTTTGGAGTAAACTGCCATCACATACTCACAGCTAGGAAATGTACTATAAACCTTTGTCTACCTATATGTCCACATATCTCATCTCATATGGAAAACTACTGATCCCATCAGTCACCAAATCTCATATTTAAAGTGTAATTTAGCACATATCGCATAACCTTTAGCTGCACATGTTTTCATCCTTTTACTGAATACTATTCTTTCCCATTTTCTTCCCAGCTGCTTTTACAGCTGTGGACATTTGCCAGCTTCCACAAGAAGAAGGTACTTGTGCCAAATTTGTTCTCAAGTGGCACTACGATGCTGCCAACAAGAGCTGCATGCGCTTCTGGTACGGTGGCTGTGGTGGAAACCAGAATCGCTTCGACACTTACGAGCAGTGTGTGAAGGCTTGTGGAAAACCAGGTACTCCTCTTGTTAGTAGTACTCTTCTCTCAGTAGGGACTGGTCATATTTAATGAATGGAAAAGTTGAAATCAGCTTGCTGTTCTGCGCTAAATGTCACAGTAAATGTAAGAAGACATTAAGCACAAGTAAATCAAATCATGTGATGAATAATCTTAGATGTATAAATCTTTCAGATGGCTTATTGTTTAACTATTTGTCACAGATATGTTTAAGACAAATCTAGCAGAAATGAAAATATGCCCTTATTTTTCTCTCCTGTATCTAAAAATGAATTTTGTGACTTTTTGGAAGGAATTGACCCCAGATCAGGAAAAAACTTTGGAGTAAGGAGTTAAAATGCAGCTCAAAACAGGCTGATTATAACAAAATAAAGTTTTATAGCTTATAATGATATTGAGCTATGTTTCACTCTTTTACCAAATAGTACTGGTCCACAGTCGCTGGTCAGAAAACAATATTATGAACCATTTCACTGTTTGCATGGGCAAGGAGACGCCCAACACAATCCCATAAAATAGGTTTAAAAGTCATAAGCCATCATTCTGAAGGAGTACAAGTTGATTACACTTATCACTGAAAAATGGTTGTTATCATGTTGTAGAAAATTGTATCTTCAAGCCTTTCTTAACTGGCTTAAGCACAAACTTAAGCACAAACTTAAATAGAGATTTAATAGAAATACACGTGGAATTTTGTCAAATACAAAGGACTTAATCATGTTTTCTTCTTCCTTCATCCCCAGAACCAGTGAACCAAAGAGTCATTGCTACAATAAAAACATAGGACGAAAGTCACAGACATGGCCAGCTCTTACCTCTATTTAGCAGATTCTGAGGAGAACCATCCAAAATGGCCATAAAGTAATGGTGGCTGCACTGGATTCCACAAACATGGACTTTATCCCCCAACTCTTGAAGTAGTCTTTCACAACAAGAAGGAAGCAACACAATTTGCTGCATGATTTGTTTTAACCTACTGGTGCTACATGATATGTTTGTTTTACAGGAGTTATTTAGTGGATTTGGTTTTGTAAAATCACGTTCTCTTGAACGATCACAGTTTTCATATTTTTTAAAATGCAGTTTTATGATTAAACAAGAAACATGTTTGAATATCTTGGACAGAGATTAGCAATGACTCAGTACATGAAGGATTTTAAAGCAGTAATCTTTTTTTATATTGTGGTTAAGTCTTCTTTTTACATTCCAGATTCACATAGCAGCATTGTTTTTTTTTTAAACTCACTTCATCCCTGTGGATTATTTCACTATTTCACTGTCACCAAATCCACAGCAATGTTTACACGAGTCTAGTGTGGCAGCGTGTGTGTATGTAAAGACAGCGACCAACTGCTGGGATGCCAACTTTAATGTAATGTTTAGTGCACTTCTGGATCCGTTGCCTCAAACACAAGATTTCCAGCTATTGAGAAACAGAATGTACTTTTCAAGCTGTTTTTATTTTTCATTTCATTTTGGATTTGCAGCAAGTTATGTTCCATGTGGGAAAGGGTGAAATAAAAATGAATTAGACTTTCTGATAAACATGAGCAACTGATTCATTTTATTTCTTGTTTTGAATTAAATGTTGCACAGCAGTAAAATGCTAGACGTTCATGTCACACAGAGATGTGTTTAATGGAAGTTCATTTGCAAAGTGATAGTTTACTTCATTGGAGTAGCATGGTTTAGAGCAGGGGTATCAAATTTGCGGCCTGAGGGCCACTTGCGGCCCACTTCAACCGTACTTACTTGTATATTGACATGAAGAAATATAATGCAATTTGGCCCTTGAAATTACATTTTTTGTTAAGGAGGACTTGTTTGCTGTTGAGTGCAATGTTAACATAAGTAAAGCAAAACATTATATAATATGAAGACAATATGAGCAGAGAATACAAACATGTTGAGGGACTGGCTGTGTTAGTTCAGTGAGAGAGTTGGAGTAAAGGAAACAGTTTTCACTGGCAGTCAAAAACTACTGTGTACACTTATGACTGCATTTTTATTTTGTTAAATACGAACAAAATTATAGCAGAAGTCCTGCCACGTGTCTGGTCAGAGAGAGAGAGTAACAATGTGTTTATTTGATAGTTCAATGAAAGGCTTCAGTTAAGAGTGAGGGAAAAAAATTGCATTCACGTTTGCAGTTTTATCTTGCGATACAATATATTTAAAAAACAACAAACAAACAAACAAAACACTATATTTTCGGAGATTTTTGTACAACTTGAGCACTAAAGTGGCCCTCCAGTGAGATGACAGTGCTATCAGGGGGCCACAGCTCATTTAAGTACTGAGGTTTAGAGTTTTAGTTGGCAATCTGATTGCATTAACTAGAGAAAAGCAGAACAACAAGCACCTAGCATTTTAGTGCTGAACTTACTTTCAGTTGAATTAGTGGCCATTAAGATTGTAGACTTAGTTAACTTAGTTATTTTTCCAAGTATTTGTCTAAAATTTTAGGTTGATTTTTTTGTGGCGAGCTTAATTCTTTGTCAATCCTTTAGACCCCAGGCAATCTCTTTAACAAGACTAGATCCAAACCCTCCACCATTTTCAGATAGCTGCTGAGTAGGGCTTCCCCTGACCCCCGACCCCCCATATTTTTGGTAATATATGATGTCAGATTATCATAAACTACAAATCTTTATTGGGGTCAGAATGAATCCCAGATGGTTGTGCAAAGAGGAATCAAATGGTGAAGAACTAAAAACACAAGAGAAATGTAAAAAATTCAGAGAAAACTCAGGGAGCACAACTGGTAACATAACAGATGAGAGAACAAAGAGACTGAGGAAGATAGAACTATGCATACACACTAGAGGAGGGCTAACTGGGGATTAAACAGTTCCTGGAACGAGACAATCAGGGGGAGAAGGACAGGAAAGGAAAACAAACTTTCACAGTAAAAGAGGAAATAACCAAAAGACATAAGAAACAAGGAAACAGAAAAGGACCAAGGAATAAACACAGAATAAGGGAAGCAGAAACACCAGAAAGATCATAACAGTTACTACTATAGCACTAAAACTGTTACAACTAAGTAGATGCAACCCCCCCCCCCAAAAAAAAAAAAAAAAAACCAAGAAAGCACTAAATCTAAAACTCATTAATATAGACATAAAGTAAACACAGAAACCTAGTATCATTAGGGCTGTACTATGAATTGGATTTGGGCTTATTGACTTCGGGCCTAACCCTGGGTTTTTTTGTACTATAAATGTGTTTCTCTTCACAACAGGATGTATCAACATGGTGAACAAAACCTGCTCCAGAGCAGGTAGTATTCAAGATTAGTATGAAATCACTGCCTATCACTGTAGAGAGGTGACAAATCAATTGTCTGGGAAAAACAAAAAACGTCACCATTCCTGGAAGACTCCTCAGACCTCTGCATGCAGATAGCTGATGTAAGACAGTTCATTTGTTTTTTCTGATGAGCATCAATAAGAAATATAGATTCTTAGACTCAACTTGTTTTATCCTGTTGGCTGCAAATATTTTCACAGCAAGTTTATTGTTTTACACATATATATTTTTTCCTTTGTTAACCCCTTACCCTCCAGAGATTGCTCTACAAGACTAGATTTTAACCCTCCATCTTTTTCAGATAGCTGCTGAGTAGGTCTTCCTATGAAATATTTTTTCTACAGTTGAGTTGTTATAATCTATCAGATTCTCCTGTATTTTCATGATAGAGCTGTGATTTTGAACAGTAACAAGAGCTCATCTTCAGCTCAGCTTGCAGCATCTCCAATCCAGTAACAATAAGCTCAGAACCAAATTTTATGGAAGCCCTGTTGCATCCTTAATCCTTATAACTGACAGATTCTAATAATTCATCCTATCTTCACAAGTATGGTGAAAATGTCAGTGATTAATAACTATCCTATTTTTTACAGCACTATATTCTTAAAATCCCGACTACTTCCCAGAAACAATAAAAATCAAAATATTTACAATTAATTGTCTCTGACAGTTATGATCTCTGATTTATTCTCAGGGCACCCACTGAAATTTTATTCTACTCCTTTGTGATTCTGTGAATGTAATGCATCCGTAAATCATTTCATAGATCATTTCTCTTTTTAACTTTTAAAGCAACACATTGTATTTGCAAGCTTTAAAGATTCCAAAGTGATCAGATAATCTTTCATAAGCATACAAAGGAAGGATGTGAGGAGCACAGACTTGGCAATCTTCTGGAGAGGAGAAATGCAAACAGCGTGTGAATATAAAAAGTCTGCAGATGTGATTTCTCTTCAGCCACAGCAAAATCTCCAGATGTCATCACTCATGGGGTCTTTAAATATTATCAGTTCTTTCATCATCATTCTGTATCTTACCACAATCATCCTCGTTTCCCATTATGCAACAGAATGTAACATTAGTAACAGAAAGTTAAACTAAATGTTCATCTTAAAAAAAGATTCATATTATCATTATTGAGATTATAGTTCTTTTAAGCTAGAAATGACCATATTTGAATGACGGAATGGGAGGCTAAGTTATGTTAAATGAAATGATGAATGAAATGATCAGTGCTTTTCTACTCTATCTGAGCACTCAAAGCACTTTATACAACTTGCCTCACTCACCTTGCACTTTTCCCCTATAATCTTTCTATCAAAGGTTCATACTCAGATAAATGCATCAGAAAGCACCTTGGGATTAGGATCTTGCCCAAGGATATTAGTATGCAGACTGGAGCAGACAGAGATTGAATCACCAACCTTCCAATCAGTAGCTGACCTGCTCTACATCCTGAGCTACACTCACCCAACACATCAGTAGGGTAGGCTGTCTCATGACAGATAAAATGGTCACCTAAGGTTAACAAGCCTGGTCCACAGAAACGAAGCACCAACTCCTTGGATGGTACGTTAAGTGCACAGTGAGCCATATTATTAGCCTAGTAATTTCACTAAAATGCTTGAGTTCAGTAATTAAAATTAGCTCAGGTGAAACCTAGCAGATGGAACATGGCTACAGTTCATTCCCCAAACACCTGCCAATCATGTCCCTCACTCCAGTAGTCATCAAGACATTTATTGGATTGGAATATTTTTAACCCTCAGTGGTTACTAATCAGTACTGTGCCAAATATCTTTGTATCTGCCAACTTTGAGCAGTTTCACTGATGACATAACAGTGGCAACAAAGTCCAGTTTCTGCCTTTTGTAGATGATGTCCTTTTGTTGGTTTCACTGAGCCATGTCCTCATGCTTGTGATGACAAGGTTCACACCCAGTTTTATTGATGTTTTTGATTCTTAGAGGACCATAATTTACAAAATGGTCATTTTATATTTATAGAACTTGAAGCTAGAAATTGAGCCCATAAACTCTTCAGCTCCTGTTACTCAGATCACAGGACGGTTTACCCATTTATTTTAATACTCTTGACTTTTTTTTTGCAAACATAGGAGTGACGCATGAGTGTCATTACAAAGAATCCTGGTTTAAGACAAGCCTGTACTGGCTTTGCTTTTATACACAATCTGTGCTCATCCATTCATTCATCAATTTTCTGCTGGTTATCTTTTTTTGCATTGCAGGGGCAGCTGTCTGAGCAGAGACAGCTGCCCCTGCATCCAGTGAATCCTGGGTGTGCCAAGGACCTGCTTGGGACAGGACATGCCCGGAATACTTCACCCAGGAAACGCCCAGGAGGCATCGAAGTCAGATGACCGAACCATGTCAACTGGCTACTTTCAATATAGCATATGGCAGAGCAATGGCCCATTACTGAGCACAGTAGTGGTACTCAGAGATGGGCCTCTAATTCTCCTTTGGTTGGAAAGAGTGACTGGAAAGAAAAGTGAAGGCAGTTTAACCAGCAGATTAACACTTTGGAATGTCATTTTTAGCAAACACATAAGGGTGATGTTCAGATATCTACTTATATGTAGCTAAATACTCTATTTGCAAAAGGCCACACCAATCAAATATAAGGTTTTTTTTTTTTTTTCATTTCTTTTCTTTTTTTACAAGTACTGCTCCAGACATGATGCATAAATAGACAAAAACCTCACCCTCTGATCTAGTTGTTTTGGTTTTCCACGCTTTACTGTTAAGGCTTTAGTTAAAGTATTTTGAATGACAAACATCACATACAGTCAGACCTTGTTAGCATATCACAAACATTCCGCTAGAGGACAATAATTCAAAACCAGTTCTTTAACTAAAAACAACTGCTCACAATTAGTGGTGAGACTTGATGTATTTACACCAGTGCTGTCTTTTTCTCTACATGGGTGGGAATTTGTACTTTTGGTCTGATGTGTCAAAGATTGGTTACATTGCTTGCGGCTAAAATTCAGATGTACACATGTAATCCTCTTCTGAGATACTGAATATACACATTTGTGGGTTGCATGTTTCTGGAGTTTATCACTAACACACTTGTCACAGTTGTCATTTTTCTCCTTTAAATCTATCAGAGTAAATGGTTTGTTTTGAGCAATGATGGCACACTGTGGTGCAACTGATCAAATATGCAAGAGCTGATGCAATGAATCAGTAACTCATCCAGCCACCAGC